TTTCCCTTCCTCCCCTCCCCTTCCTCCCCTCCCCTTCCTCCCCTTTCCTTCCTCCCCTTCTCTTCCTCCCCTTCCCTTCCTCCCTGTCCCGTATCCCCCCCCCTTCAATTCCACTTTCTTCACCCGCACACTCTCCCTCACCTTCAGCTTCGGATCATCCGCCAGGCGTCTGTCGAGCTCCAACACCTCCTCCACCTCGTCTCCCGTCACCAGCCGATGGTTGATCGTGGCACTGGCTGTCTTCGGCAGGGCAGTAGAGGAGAACCCTCCTTGAGCCAGCGTGACAGCAGTCGTCGTGCGGAACATCGTGGCAAGTTTCTCGTCCACGGTCGAGAGCAGGGCGACGGTCCCTCGGAAGAAGGAGGTCCTCTTCAGCAGGAATCCTACAGGCCATGGCATGTGGGGAGAAAGAGTCCACAGCATCTGCTTCACAGGTAGCGGATGCCGCGCACGAGCTCTGTGCTCTTGTATCCTCGTCACTGCGCGTGCGACCCTCGCGATCGACGTCCCGGCCGAGGGGGGGTAGGAGGCGTGGCCTCCGGTCCCGTTGCTCTCGATCAGGACACAGGCGATCCCCTTCTCAGCTGTCCCGATGAGGGCGAGGTTGAAGCGCTTGTTAACCGAGGACGGGTTCGCCTTCATGGTTGGGTTTCCCTCATCCAGTACGAACTCGAGCTCTCCAAACTCCCCTCCCTTCCTCCTCAAGTGTTCCACGATCTTCTTTTGCCCTAGCATCCCTCCTACCTCCTCGTCGTGCCCGATCGCAAACAGCAGCTGCCGGCTCCTCCTCCAGCCCTCTGGCCGCTGCAGCAGCATCTCTGCCGCATGCAGCATGGTCACGCAGTAGGACTTCATATCAAGAGCTCCCCTTCCCCAAACTTGTCTGCAGAAGGAGCAGCGCACGGCGAGCAAAGGACAACATGTCAGCCAACAGCACAACCATCCTCCTTCGTCTCTTCTCCTCACTCCTCTATCATGTTCCTCTGCCGCCTCCTCCTCCTCCTCCTCCTCCTCCTCCTCCACCACCACCACCACCACCACCACCACCATCAACATCAATATACAACACCTTCACCTCCTCCTCCATAACCACTGGGCCAACATAAAAATCTCACCCTTGATAAATTTCCCCGGAGAACGGACCGCACGTCGAGCAGTTGTGGTTCTTGCCCCACAAGCTCACCGTCTCCTCCTCCACAGGAGCCACATCAAGGTGGCACATGACCAGCGCCGGTCGTGGGCGAGCGCCGCTGCTCTGAGTCGTGGAGGGGAGGGAAAGGAGAAGACTGTAGTCACTGACAGTCTCTACTTCCTGCAGCAGATCAACCATCGTCAGCAGCGGCAGGCAAGGGAGGGAGAGTGGAACTAACGGAGAGCTCGAACAACTTGGGGAAGAACCTTCAAGGTGCGGGACAAGTCAGACCGAGGAGGGCAGGGAAACAAGCTTGTTCACCTCCGCAGCAGCTCGTGCGATCTCCTCAGGTTCCTCCTCGCCTCTTCGCTCAAGTGATGCTGCTCGCTCTTGTTCGAGATGGTGTTCAGCTGCGCGAGGGGGTCAGGCTGTCAACCATCCCGTGAAGGATCAAGGGTTGCCTGGAGGAGACTAGAAACCATCTGGGCTAGACGTTCCTCATCGAAACGAGGGATATGGCCCTGTGATGAAAAGCTGTCACCTTCCCCTCAAGTCGTCGTCAATGATGGTAACGCGATCACTGCTGCCCCTTATCGCAAGGGAGAGGGACAGAGAAAACGAGGATGGGGGGTAGAGGGAAGGAGAAGGAGAAGGAGAGAGGACGAGTGGGAGGGAGGAGGAGGAAAGGAGGAGGAGGAGAAGGAGGAGGAGGAGAAGGAGGAGGAGAAGGAGGAAGAGGAGGGAGGGAGGGAGACTACGTCCGTACCTTGAGATTTGCCAAGTCCATCTCAACGGGAGAGTACGACTGGAAGTCTCTCGGTTCCATGAAGACGATGGCTGTAGGGATCAATCAAGGTATCCATCTTTCCTCACCAACACCCACTGCCTCCACTATCCCTCTTCATCCTCGTCTCTTTCAACTTCCTCAGTTCCGATGCTGAGCAGCCCTCGTGTCATCCACCATCGTCTACATTCCAGTGCTCCCCCCTTGCTTCCTCTGCCCACTTGCTTCCTTTCCGATCCGACTGCTCTTGTTCACTGCTCGCTGCACTCCTTGACCTCTTCGGTCTCCTCTCCCACATCTCGTCACTACCATGCTCTTCCATAATCGACTTCTTCTGCATTCTCCTACAATCTTTCACCCTCTCCGTATGCTTTCATGTCATCCCACTGCCCTTCTCTTTCCTTACTCCCCCCAGTCCCTCCAGATCCCCCAGTCCCCTCCTCCCTCCCCATCATCATCCTTCTCCCCATCATCCTCCCTCCTCCACCACCACTCACCGATCGCCATGGCCACCATCGCCGCTATCATCGCTCCTTTCTCCGCCATGCTCCCCTTGCCTAAAGGGATTGCGCCTTTACTGATTTCAAAAACTGCTTATTTTAATTTGTACCGATATTCCTAATGACTAAACAGAATTTGTACTTTCATATCATTTGTAGTCCTGGGAAGCACTGGCATTATAGTACACTTTTCAGATATAATGGTACAGTAATAATTACTTATTCGACACTTATTATTGTTTTTGCTCAGTTGGTCACTCCGACTGGTTCCGGGCATCAGCCTGGCTACCTCCGTTGAAAGTACCCCACAAATCCCAGGGAAAAGTAGGGGTATATTAAAAACGGTCGTAACTGGATTCAAGTTTCATGATATGAAATTAAATTTTAGATGAACATTTCAAATGATTCTGCTGCCTCACGGCAGGGATAGAAGCATCACTACGTCATTTAGCTGCCCCAAATTCTTAAAACCCTTTTAGAAGTATGTTTGTTGTGATTCGTACAAGATTAAAAATATCAATTTTAGTTATATATGGAGTATATATCCATTTACTTATATAACTTGTAAAGATATGCTTTTGTACAGATTTGTTATTTCAATATAGTTCCATAATAGTAAAAGCACAATACTGCCTGTGTATAGCCCTTTGGGTGCAGGTCAAATCATTTTGGTTTCAGAGTTGATTCATGTTAAAACACAATTTGAAATTATGACTTTCATTTTTGAAATATTCAAACTAAAAAGCTCGTGTGGAGGAATATAAAAATATTTTTATTGGAGGCTATTATGGGGTGATTTAACTGAACATTTATATAGAGTATCTAAATTTGGTTTTTTATGCGATCCCTTCAAAAGTATATAAAAGTGCTTATTACAATGTTGTAAACACTGGGTATGACAAAAGCTTCGGCGGCAATGGCAGGGAGGCAGAAGGAGCCGAGGAACGATGGGCATGGCGAGAAGGGATGGAGGATGAACGTCGCAAGTTGAAGATGTCACCACGTTGTAGGAGCAGGAACCAAAGAAGGAGCTGGAGCAGGAGCTGGAGCTACAAGAGCAGGAGGAGCAGGAGCAGATTTTGGAGGCACAGAGGAGTCGTAGATCAGGAGAAGCAAGGGCAGGAGTAGCGTGAGGGAAACAGTACCGTACATGGAAATGCATTGGGATTTCAGAAGGATACGCTTGTAAGGCAGAAGTATATGCCATGCAGTGCTGCTGTCCAGGAGCGCTTGTGGCACTGGTGGGTTTGCAAGTGCCCCCTTGTAAAGAGTCGACAATTGACAGTCTGATGAGACATGTCGATCGAAGGTGGAGGATTCCTTGCAATCTTTGCATATTGTTTTTGTTAGAGTCAAAATTATTCATCACTTCGTTGTTAGACAATCGTTCGATCCATCCATCCATCCATCCATCCATCCATTGCTTTGGTTTCCGTGCTGCTCACTGACACTCTCTCGTGGTAGAGTGGAACACTCTGGAGATGCCTGCCGACAAGAGCAAGCAGCATCACGCTCTTATCAACAATGTGATTCTTCCCTTTTGAACCCTGCGGTCCTTGTTTGCTAAGTGGAATTTGCTCTGTTGCAGGCGATATTCTTTGCGGTCGCTGCTGCCATTCCTGCTGTCTTGGGAAGGAAGTTTGGTACACTCTTGAACCCTTGTTATGAACTCAGCCTGACCGATGTTGCAGATGGACTTGCCGTCTTGCCGTTACTCTACGTGACGACGGTACGATTGCTGCGTCTGATTGAAGGATCCACTCACTTCTAATCTCTTGATATTTGTTGCTTGTGACTTTCTCCCCTGCAGTTCCGCATCCGCAAAGCGTTCCTGTACTTTGCAGCTTTTCCGCTCGTTTGCGTCGCGATTTGTGCTGTAGGTGAGAGCTCGGCATCGGTTTTGATTCCCGCAGCTGACGAACATGGACCTTCAGACAAGCGCTGGGATCTCAACAACATCAACCTCGAAGATGGATACAAGTTTGTTGCACCCATCCTCGTCTCTGTCGTGCTCCACTACGCGGGTGCTTTCATGGCATCGGACTGGAGGGTGACCTCTCGGTACAGCCCTTGACCCCTCGACCATTCGGCGATTTACCTGGTTGAACAGTGCGGCATTAGACGAATTCTCCGAGTCGGTCTCCGGCTTCTTGGACAGAAAGTGCTACAAGGAAAAGTCTTGGCCTTCGCTCTTTTACATGAAGGCCGAAAGGGTTAGAATCCCTCGAACTGTACCCGAAGGACTCTCTTGACCCTTCCGTACCCAGGTGCTGATCTCGTTTGTGTGCATCTTGAAGATCATTCTTGCCGTCGCTTTTCTCGTCTTCTTTCTTGTTTTCAACGGGGTACGCACTCCTACGGAACTGCCCTCGGGGCTGACGTTTCCGAAGATCCCCTCGGATGTTGTGGGATGCAGCGCTACGGATCCGAAGGCAGAATCCTATCTACGGATGTGGCTCTGGGCCTTTTATGGTACGTTGCTCCTCTCAAAATTATCCTTAGTCGCTGAGACGCTTCGGCTACAGCGATCGTGTGCGCCACCGAGGTTATGTACCATATGGCTCTATACATGTCCAACCAGATCAGGTCCACCTGACGATGTTTTCTTCTCCTACATCGTTGATCGTGGTGTGAAGCTGTGCTGTTCCTGGATCGTTCACCATGGCGGTGTTGCAGCCTACGTACTGGCAGGTAGATCTGGTGAACATGCCTCCTCCCTCCTCGTGACCAGGTGGTTCATAGTGGTATTTCATCGCTTCCTACGCCCCGTCCAGGGGCCTCTGGATCCCTATCCTCACTGAATGTAATCCCTGCCTCTTGCTCGCTCGGCTGACCTCCGCGAGCAGCTCTGCGCACGTGCTCTGTGAGCTTCTTCCGCATGCAGGTCGGTGGGACGGCACGGTGTTGCCAGGGTCCTGATCTGCCTCGTTAGGACAAGGACGACGTTCTTGTCAGCCCTCTGATGTCGATGATCGAGTTCTTCCACGTGTTGCTCATGATCGCCCTTGGGGTCAGTGATCGTTACGTTTGCCTTGCGCTCCTCATCCTCTCTTGCCGCAGAAATTCTCCTCCTGCGCGTACCCGGACGCCATGCTGTACCGCGAGCTCTTCCTCAGCTGCTTCTTCCTCTACAGCATGATCACCTTCAGGTCAGACGTCGAGCTCGTCTCCCTGCTGGGGTCGCTCGTCAGAGCTGCGGAGGTTCTGAGAGCCCATCCAGGTACAAGAAGTGGAGAACGTGGAGCAAGGCCAGGAAGCTCGTTCAAGCTCGACTCTACTTCCCAGTCCACCACAAGGAGATCGAGTGCTACGTTCGCAAGTGGCAGAAAGGGATCAACCTGCCCGATGGAGGAGGCGACGTGGAGTTTCCCGAGGATCATCCTGCATGGAAGAAGTCCCATGGAAAGCCGAATGTTAAGTAGGACTTGCCTACTCAGACTTCTGTTGCTGACTCTTACTCCTCTCTCTACCTTGTTCTCTTCCTCTATCCTATCCTATCCCTCCCTCTCCTTCTCTGTCCTTCTTCTTTCTCCCTCTCCCCCTCCCCTTTGCTCTCCTCAGGTATTTCCCTGAGCTATCAATCTCCCGCAAAGAGTCTCGCCCAGACTGGGGAAGTGAAGTGCCGAAGTTTGTGACCTTCGAGGTGACCAGCCCAGACAACTCATGACAGCCTCACCTCCTCCTTTATCTCCTCCTCCTTCATTTGCCACCACCACCACCACCACCACCTCATCCTCCTCCTCCTCCTTCTACTCCTCCTGCTTCGTCTCCTCTCTTCATCCCAAAGTTCACCCTTAAAAACCTCGTTCCTACTATCCTCGACTCAAACGCCTCTGACAAGCCCCCCTTCTTCAGAGGAAGACTCAGATGCCTGGAGAGTGGATCTGCGTCGAGATCGGGACCGACGCTGGGGTCCTGCTGGATGAAAACGAGATGGACACTGGTCTCAAGGGTCAGTTCCGCGTTTTGCATCCTCTGGTCGACTCCAAGGGTGTGCTCGCCTACTGGGGAGACTTCGGGCCAGGCAAGCTGTTTGCGGCGAAGAGATACAAGAAGGATCCGGCGGGGGGATGGGACATGACAGTCCCCGGAGACGATGCGACGGAGGCGGAGCTCAGTGCAGCCAGGAATCGCCATGTTCGCCTCCTCAAGCCATACTTTCAGGACTGCCTGATGCAGGAGAAGGCGGCGGAGTTCGGTAGGGCCTTCAATAAGGTCGAAAACCTCCCGGTCCGCAAAGTCGAGCTGCTGCGAGCATGCGTGCTTGAGATGGAGTGGGACAGTGCCCTGCCGCA